CTCTGAAATGGGAAGATGCAGTTTGACCTGATCTGGCTTGCGGATCCGATATAAAGAGAGTGCCACAACATGAGCACAGTAAAATATGTCCTTGTTTCCACAGCTACAGGTCACTGAGGTAATCTTGCAACGATCAAAGCTGATAGCTACATTGCAAACAGTTTCTGGCTCCGACTGCATTGCAGGCTCTGTCATGTGTCTCTGAAATGGGAAGATGCAGTTTGACCTGATCTGGCTTGCGGATCCGATATAAAGAGAGTGCCACAACATGAGCACAGTAAAATATGTCCTTGTTTCCACAGCTACAGGTCACTGAGGTAATCTTGCAACGATCAAAGCTGATAGCTACATTGCAAACAGTTTCTGGCTCCGACTGCATTGCAGGCTCTGTCACTGTGCCACTCAAGTGGAAACCTGTGTAGGGAAAACAAAAGAAAATGTAATTATGTGTAAGTGAAATACTAGATCTCATTATCAATAACCTTTCATTTATAAAGTAAAGGTCATCATGTATTTCTGAGAAATCATATATCTGAAAGAACTTGCTTTAATTATAACATTTATTAACCTTTTCTTTCATATGCACCTCTTTCATCTCAAATAAAACCAAAAGGGAAATCAAAAGCCAGTTTACAAGCCCTCTTTGCCATTCCATCCCAACATTGGTAAAAGTTTAATAGTAAGAAAAACATTTATTCGGTAAATGATAGCTGAAAAAGCTTCATGTGATTCAAGACCACCGTGAAACTCCCAGTACATCAGCAAGTTGGCAGCAGCTTTCCAAAGCCCCCACCAGGGAGCCTGCAACACCTACCAGCAATGTTAACCATTCTGTCAGTAAGAGGGACGTAGTGCACTCTAGTGGCACGAACCTAGGGCCCAGCCTCAACTCTGCCATGACTCAGAAGTCAAGAGTAAGCTCTTTGCTTTCACCTCTCTCACCACTGAGCTCATGGTAAAGCTCACTTTCACCCAAGCGATCCAGTAGGACACCTATGTCTGTGTAGCTCTTTGCAGATGGAAACTGCTGCAGTTACCAACACACAGGATATCAGATTTATAGCACTGAATGAAACGCACTGTTCCAGAAGTCTGTGTTATGGTCCTGCTTTCCATTCGGCACAGTAAAGTGCAAGGCAGAAGAGCTAGGTTTTCTTGCATTGTAAGAAGGCGTGGTATATCATACGAAAAATGTTTGTTTCAGCAAAGATGCCACTTGTTGACCCAGCATCCTGTCGAACCAAGGTCTCAGACCCTGAAGGTCACATCTAAACTCATCTTTGTTTGCATGACATGAAGGCCCAGGTATGGTTCTCAACGCTTGATCACTGAATGGCAGAATTTGGGGGTTTCTTTTGGATTTTATGTAAGCATGACACTGATTTTGGCTCAAGCATTAAGTCAGAGGCATATACGCAAGGCAATACAACCAGATTTCATATGCAATATCAGTATTAAACACTGCATATAAAATCTGGGATTGACACTACAAGTAAGGTGTTACATTAACTATTTATAATGGAAATAATACAAAAGCACAGCCCCTCAGAGAAGAAAACTGATTTAGTATTCTTGAAACACCAGTAAGTGTACAGTAGGAAGCAGTATCACATGATATTAAGGGGGAGGGGAAGACCAAATACAACCCACCCAAAGCACCATTCCAAAAAAACCTCATCCCCAAACCCTAATTCTAGTCCAAAATTGTGTCTCCAGTTGTTTCAAAAAAGCTCTTCAAGTTGCAGAAAATAAAGAGGAAAAATCTCATTTTTTCCCATCTGTTCACACCACATTTCAGAGGAGGTTGTACAGTCAGCATCCCTGTTTGGATTACATTCAGCTGCAGTACTCTGATACTCTACCCTGAAGAAGGTCGTATGCCACACTAACCTCACCTTTGCAAGATGATGTTTACCAAACAAAGTAGTTAAGAGTCAAGGCTGAAGAGGTAGTAGGCTGCAAAGTGCACAGGGAGGACAGGCGATGGAGGAACAAGCCTGAGCATACAACAGTACTCTTGCTCTTGCACAGTACTCAACACTTGCACAGTGGAGAGTGGAATTGCCCCTTACATCATGAGCTTCTCCGTCTGCCTTTCCCTTTGGTTTTATGTAGTCACTGCATGCTCCTGTAAGTGCCTTCTATCAGAAAAATGGTCTTTGATAAAAGGTAGTCAGCTCCATTTATGTCAGGTTAATTCCCAGTAAGTGAAAGCTGCACTGGTGCTCCCAGAGAAACTGCACAGATTTCTCTTTTTAATATCCCTTTCCTGTGAAGCACACATAAAACTGTTCCACCTATGAGCTGACAAAAAGCCTAACACAAACACTGAAAGAGCCTGATC